TACATTACCGTCTTAATTCAAGTTCTTGGCCCTAGTCCAATTCTAGTGACAAAAAGCAACAATTGACACCGACTAACTGTGACGAGGAAGAACAACAAATGTTCTCGAGGAAAATAAAAATAGAACTAAAATGTTGTATGCTACACACTTTTGAAACAAAAATTTGTCCACAGGAAGTGAATAATGCCAGCTTTTTTTGCCATACAAAGGCCCAAAGGTCATGAATCTAGCTGTGACAAAGATTTGCAGAACTAATAGTAACCAATAGGAACACTGTGGCTACAGCATCACTTCTTGTTAGCTGTTCTGAATTTCATGCCATTATTTCTTTCAACAAATTAGTACATACCTGCCCTTTGGGCTGTTGGCTACACCTGGGCTGGTCAGGGGCGTCAGAAGAAATGACATGCAGGCATAGCCTGCATCTCCGAGCAGCAGGCCAGGGATGCGCCGATTCTCGTACAGGACCCTTGCACGACTGTTATCGAATATCCTGCTGTCATGCACGGAGCCTGGCCATCTAGCAACAAGGTCAAAAAACTGCAGCTGGGGTCCTGTGATGGCCTGTGGATAGGAAGGAGCAGTACAGGGATGAGCAGGTTGCCATGATATGAACACAAGTGCTCAAGCTGATATTTCTACTATGATTAGTATATTTTGACAAAGTGCATCTGCAAGCTTTGGAAATTAACTAGCATTTGAGTTCTCGCAGTTTTATGTGACGTAAGCTTCAATGTGGCTTAATTCCTAGGTTTTTCACGCGGTATAATAGAAGAGAATTTGAGCACGGGGTAAAATCTCCCTAATATTTTGTTCGAAAAGTATAATTCAAGGGGAAAATGCTATAAAACATGAGCGTTTGCTATAAAATAACAAAAGCCACCTCGGCACCCAATTAAATGTATGTTTCCAAACACACAATACATAATTCTTGGTTTTGAACCCTCTCTAGCTGGCCCACCACCACTCTGCACTGTCGCAGAGTGCAGATCTCTCTACAAGTTCTAGTCTATATCAGTCACAATATCGCCGAGCTTTCACGTGCCACACCGGGTCTTGGCGTGCCGTTGTTTTCAACTTACTTCGCTGTCGCTAACAGCACAGACAGAAGTGAACTTACCTGCACGTTGAGGGAGAAGAACCCTTTCCTGTTCCTGTAGACTTCCCCATTGGGACCGCCAGGTCCCTTTATTTTGACGTGGGTGCAGTCGATGCACCCAGTCACACTGGGGAACTTGCCGATGTTGTAGAAATCCCGCATGACCTCGTCGCAGTCGCCCTCCGGGAAATCCACGAGGCGGGGGAAGAGAGTCTCGGCGAGGACCCGGGAGACACGCTCAATTACGCGGCACACCGTCGGCTGCGACACGTTAACGAGGTCGCCCGTAACTACTTGAAAAGTGCCGGCGCCATAAAATCTCAGCGCTACGAGGAGCTGGAGCATCGGGGACAGTGGCAGGCCGCGACTGCTCTCGTTTGCTTCCAGCGGCAGGCACTGGAGAAGGCTTACTACTGTCGATTTCGTAAAACGATATCGCACCAGAAACTCCCAGTCGTTGAAATGCTCCAACGGGTTGAGCCGGTCCCGGCAACGCCGTCTCGGCACATCGACGTCCTGGTCGGGGTCTCGGCTGTCGTGAAGGACTTCGTCCGTTCTCAACACGAAGTCGACGAAGTCGGCGAACGATGCGTCGGCCGCCATGACACTGAACGCACTCGAGTGGCTCGAGTGGCCGTTCAAGGTAGCTCCGGCGCAGACTCGAGATCTCGAGTAAATTTTGGAGTTTCGAGTGGAGATTTTGGAGTCGAGTGGAGTTTCGAGTGGAGATCTGTTTATGAATCGCAAAACCACCCTCAAGTCGAGTTTCGAGTCGAGTTTCGAGTCGAGTAGCGTTTAAGAATACGGCGGTTAGTATGCGCTCTGCTTAGTATGATGACAACTGACCAGTTTGTTCCCGACGCTTTTGTGTATATTTCTGTTTTGTTCTGCAACGCATGAAAGAGTGTCTCCCTTCCCTGTACGAGCTCTTGGCATTGACGGCCTCTTGTTTTCGGCAATTTCTTTGTATTTTTACTGCTTCATTTGCAGGAATACGGGGGTGGGGCTCACTGTTCTACTGCCGCCGTGGGGCTCACTGCTCTATTGTCATCATTGTTGCGGCCCACCGACTTAAAAAGCTTCCTCACAGCGCACACCTCGCGTCTTGAGATAGCACGGAATTACCAAAACGTGAAGGCCAGACGAAACACAATGATAGCCGTAGACCAGTGTCTGCTCTGTTCCATGGGCACCGCCATGTTTGTTTATGCTGACGCAATCACAGTAAAAAAAAAAAGGGGGGGGGAGGCTGCGCTTTTTGCAAGACTCCGTTTTTTTGTTTTTTTTCTTTGTTTTTGCTTAGAAATTTTTGCACATATTGTAGTGCAAGAACGTCGGAACGGCATAGTCACGAAGCTTTAACAACAACGCCATTGCCAAAAGTGTTATAAAGAGAAAAAACTTGTTTTATGCGCAGCCGCTCTTTTCACAAAGGCCTGCGCTTCAGATCATTTCACAATTTTATCGCTGGGAGCTAGGACCTCGGACACTGGTGTATAGGCCCCCTGCAATGCTGTTTGGTGTGGAGCTATCTAGCGACTGAAGGAAGAAACATCGGGCATGCCTGGGAGTGGCAGCTGCATTGTTCAAACATGAGCTATTACTCTGGTGGCGCCGCTATAGCCTAGTGACTGAAGCAAGAAATACTGGGTAGGCCATGGAAGCCGTGATCGCATAACATGCAAGTACGGCGGACGCTGCGGCCCGGTAGGCCAATCGGAGCGTGGGTATCATCGGAGTGCGCCTTTGCTGCGAAGAAGTTTCAGGCCTTCCGCTTCGTCATGATCCAATATCTGTGCGTTGCGCTCGTATACGCAGCGGATATCGAAGCCGTCGGCACGCAGTGGCGGGCTTGTCGTTCACCCTTTGCCAAGTTACACCGAGGCAGGGTATAACCTTGGATTCTCACTCTACTGGCGCCGCCTGGCTGTTACCGGGAGGCTATACTGTCACAAAAGAATTAAGCAGCAAAAACAAATACAAAAAAATCTCGACGCTGAAAAATCAGAGCAACCGTCCTCGCACAAACACTAGGTGCCCATATATAGGGCGATGGTAATTCTGAACAATTACAAAACCAAAATCTATTATCTACTAAAGGTTTAACAAATTCGTGCTACAGAACAAGATGCCAAAGGAAAGGGTTTTATCTTTGCTAGGCCACTTTATCTTGCAGCGTGGTCCAAAGGCAGCAGCGGCATATCCCCGGGGGGGGGGGGGGGGGGGGGGGGGGGTAAGAAGTCGTCAGTCCGAACTCGTCGTACCGTCACTCGGAGAAATGACATCACACACCAGAGTGACCAGACACAACCACGGAAACAACACGCCGAACTTGGAATTAAGTTGAGTACCCTTGCGCATATGTGTAGTGAGAATATGAAGGCTCTTCGGAGTCTCTGATGTTCCGTGCAACGAAAAGATTAATCTAATAACGAATTGCATCGGAGGCCACCTCGACACGAAACGCAGAAAGCAAGACGGACTTCATCGCATCCGTGAGCGACCGCCGAGACGCTCGTCTTGACGGAGGGAAATTTCACGAAGTGAGGGAAACTTCGCCACCAATAGGGGAACTTTTAGGCGTCCAGTGAAAGAGGGAGAAACATGAAACGCTCGTTACGTCTTCGCCACAGTCAGTCGCTCTCTTTCGGAGGACCTCTTCTCAAACGTTTAGGGTCTCCTCAAGATCATAGCGACCCTTCGTGTAACGCCGCAAGCTGAGCGCTCGTTCTCTTCCCTACGACGTTTAAAACATACCTGAGAGCGCCCGCTTCGAACAAGCGACTGCTCGGTCTAGAGCTTTTGAATGCTCCGCAACATTAAACCTCAAGCGGTGGACATCCTGGACATTCTTGCCGTGACAGCAGGCGACTGCATCTTAATATGTGGGCGCTTGGCATAAATAAATTGATCGAGAGCCTCTAAATTGCTTTCTGAAATAAGAAGTCACGGTTACTTTTTTATTCTCGGTGATTTCTAGTCGAAAGCACGGAATTCTGATCAATACACAAGGTGTGCGTGAGCGCAGCGCCACCTGTTGTTTACAGTTTACTTGTTTTTACAATTCTGTCAATATTCCCTACATCACTGACATTGTTTCACATTATCACCATGCGTGCGTTTCATTATGTCCAATTTAGTTTGATATAAGTATGTATTTCAGTGAGGATAGTTTGTTATACTTTGCCTTAAATATGCCATCCTTAACCCCCCCCCCCCCCCCCAAATTTTCGAAATATCCGTTCTCTGTATATCTGAAATCAAGTTCCGCATCCCATAAAATAAGCATGAATGAAGAAATATTGACTATTTTTTATTTGAGCAATTTCTAGCCCAGCAACATACCTCTCTGCAGATTCCATGGCGAGTTTCTTCAAGGCGCTCAAGCAGTTCTCACACAAAACGTCGAGATCTCGCATGGGGTAAGCTGCTTCTGGCATATGCTCCTTTAATAAAGCGATGTCCAAATCTTTCACGCTGCCAAAGTTTCTTTGATAATAATTTTTTTTTCTTTTCTCTGCTGAGATAGTCAGCGCAGAACAACTCGCTTTAAGCTTACGATTCAGCCATCGAAACGCGGGGAGCCGCTAGGCGTATGCAGTACTCACGGACGATGCTCACGAAGTATCCGCCGGACGGCAGACACTTCGCGAACACCATCACAGACAACGGCATCGCATTAATTATCTTTTTTATAGCTGTGCGCGAACAATGAAATATCCTGGTGTTTCTTTTTGTTAACTCAGTCGCATTCGCTATTTGATCTGCGCCGCGACAACAGAAGGAAACGATTTGAGAATTCTGTAATAAAACATTGCCTCTTTATTTCGATTGTGCAAAACTTAGTGATCTTCAAGGTTGGTTAGGAGTATGAACGTATCTGAAGTGAGGAACAATATCATTAACCACCCAAGCCCGCGGGCTTTTGAACTCCTCTCAAAGCAGCATCGAAGACATCGCTTAAATGGTCATTCACAGTGAGAAGGGTGTTCACTCTTTGTGCCAGAATTCCTCGGAGGTTATAAAGTTGTCCTGGTTTAAGGCTGTATCGGGCCGGAGGTGACACACGATTATAGTTCTTATCAAACATTTCGTACGTCTGCTCGTGCATTGCAAATCGCACATATTTCATATAGAAAGTGCCTGAAATATAAGGAGAGTTTAATTAGTTTAAAGGGACACTGACAGGGTATTTATGCTCGCCGAGGTTTTTAGTTCTACGTGACATATGAGAGCTCAACTACCCAGAACAGAATTTGCGGCTCGAAATTCGGTTTCTTTCCGCCCGAAAACCGCCGATCAAGAACTGGCCGGTTCGAGTCTCGCTCACTCTCTTTTTCGCGGTCACGGGCCGTTTTCTAAGGTATCGATGCGACCACCAAGTTTAATCAAAGTCGTGGGTCACTGAAGGCACACACTCAATATTAAAAATAGAAAAAAAATATGAAACCCATTTTTTTGTGGCTTCTAAAAAGCTGTAAATACGTTGATTGAAAAAAAAAAGTTCCACAGACAACAGGAAGCATTCTGTGCGTTCGTCGTTTCGCGTATCGTGGGTCTCGCGGGGACGGCGATGGCAGCGGACGACGGGCGTGGGACCTCTATTTCAGAACTGTCGTTCGCGGTACCGGCGAATTCTGTCTACCGTTAAAAGAGAAATTTGGGACTGATCAAAAGAATTGGTATTCATCCCGTACGACACTCCCGGCCACCAAGCCGCTTTGCACGAAGACGTCGCGGAGCCGTCGCTCCCTTCTCGTGGCTGAAGACATCGCTCGCGCAAATGTCAAGCACGACGTGTCTACTTCGAGTTGAATATGCACGTGTACGATTTCTTTACTAGGTGCGAATGTCCCCAAAGCGTGGTGCTTCCCGACATCGACCCGGGAGTGCTTTTGCTAGAGAAAAATCGGCAACCAACTTTCCAACTTGCAGTTTACCGGCTGTATTATTACTAAGGAAAGAGATCCTCCAGAATCGAGATGCCCCAGTAGCTCAGTGGGAAAGACGTCCGGTCCACACGTGCTAGGACCGGGTTCGATGCCCCGTGAAATTGTTTTTTCAAACATTTTTTGACGTTTACATATCTTTTTCTTTTTTTTTACAATCATCACTGAAGAAACAAACAAAAAAATAACAAACAAATGTTGTGGACGCTACTTCGCCGAATTAAATGGTATGGGATTTTCGTTTTGACACCTGCGAACTCAATGTAATCACTTTCCACAAAATGCAAAGAGCATATAAATCAGGTAGCGTCCGCTTTCCGAGGTGCCCGTATATGTTCTACAGGAATTGCAGCCAGCCATTGGTCCCGATCCCGTTGATCTTTCGGAAACTCTGTCGCACAATGCCACTTTTTTTTCGGATGCATGACATGTGAGCCAGCTCTTCACGCAACATCTTGGGTGTATTCGTTTCGGAGCCGATCATGGAAATTCACCACGGGCACTCACTACTCATCTCCAACTCCTAAATGTACAAAACAACTCATCTTGGAGAACAGGACAACGAGCGGAACAAACATAACTGCAAAAGAATCGCAGGGCGAGTAGTTCCCGCACGCCGCATCGCACGCCGCATGTCGTGTCGTCTGCTACGGAGCGGAGAAAAAAAAAACACAAAAAAAAAACGCACGGTCGGGTGTAGCCACGTGACTTCCGCCACTCACTCTCTTCTCTCCACTTCTCCGACCTCCGTCGGGTTTCGGTTTCGGTTTTGAGCAGTTGCGTCTTTTGGCTTTATTAAAAAAATACGCTACTCTGTTGCAAAATATTAATTGGGTAGTCCTCCGACACCATATTCAAGCGCCTGGCAAAAAATAAAAAAAAAATTTTTGGGGGGTGTCAGTGTCCCTTTAGGGCAGTGAAACAAAAAGTAGCATCTGGAATAATATTAAATAAAGTAAAAGCAACACCGGCACTTTATTCTAATACTAAAAGTAAGTACAGCTGCAACTTACAAAAAAAATAGCACAAATGATTGACGACCGCAGCGGCCAAATTGGGACACCCAGCGCTATTGTTCCCGAGTGCGCAGATAGCGACAGTGCCACGCACGTTCCATGTTTCAAAGCGGGGGTGGCCGGCAGAAAGCAGGCAATTATAAAGCCTCTGCATTTAAAGCTATCTTATTCCTTACTTTTAGGGCGAGCGATACGTCAACGTGGTTGCGCACGTAAACCCGTTTCTTTTTTTTTTTTTTTTTTGGAGCGGAGCTGTTAAGGGCTAGGTTCCCCAAGATAGTGTCTCTGTATGTTGACGCAGTTAAGTATCATGTTCAACTTTCACCAGCTCGCCTGCACTCTGACTATTTTTTCGTTGTTCATGTACTTTTTAGAAGTGCTAACTTGTGTATTGTCTAAATATATTTTGTTCGTTACAAGTTTGGTGCAATTCTGTGTCTATTAACCTCTAATAGCCTTCAAGTGAAAGTCGACAGCATTTATAAACAAAAACTAAAATAAATGAGCAACTATTAAAAAGTCTAAAGCACGTGGGAAGCGATTGGGTGCACTAAAGTTACCACTTGTGCACTTGGCACAAAGCTGACGGTGCGCCAAACACGAATGAAACTCTTACCATCTGTGTGTTCGCACCGCCAGCCTCGCGTCTGTTGCTTCAGTGGTAACTCTTACGCATCCCCGCGTTTTGGTGTCAGTCCCATCAAATGACGTGGTCGCGTGGTTTATGTCACGTTGCGACGCCCTGCTGATTGCACCACGTGACTACATGACTACCGTCCGCTATATTTAATGTGGGCGCATTATACTCAAAATACAGCGGGAGTTCCTTAGACCTGAATTGCTGTAAAAACGTACACCAATTCAATTTCACCCGATAAAATTAGAGGGGGATTTTCAGTACACTTTAGTTATTCACTTCCGTTGCCCACCTTCATAACACACACCCGTTAAGCTCTTGGAATGTCTTTTTTTTTTGTTATTAAATACTAGCCCTATTTACATCCTGTGCAAAAAAAAAGTATTAATTTATTTTTAAGATTTAATCGGGATATCTCTAACTTCTAGTGTTCCCCGAGGTAAAAAAAAACAAAAAAAACAAAAAAAACTTTGCAAAACTTCGCTTTAGAAACCCTGTGTCAAAGCATAACGTACTTCAATATGTACTATTTTTTTTTTTTTTTTTTTGCTTGCACGCACGGGAAGTTTTTAGGTAATTTGTTTCTTTTTACACCCCTAACTTTGTTATGACATCCCAACACCTTCTTTTCGCATTAAGCGCACACGCAACCGACGCTACGAGCGGATGGGACCAATCAGACATCGTCAAAAGCACACAATCATGGTGTTCGTCATGTTTCCGTACGTCTTCTATGATCGCTAACCAACGAGGTAGAGGGGCTTAGAGTGATAAACCGGAAGTTTGGAAGTGGCACCCCCCCGGTTGCCGCCATGTTTTACGCAAATGTGACCACTCGTCACGTGACCTCCCAAGAGCCGTGACGTCGCAGGTAACATGGCAGCGCCCAGAGCTGGCGGATGCGAGTTTGTTCGGTGCGCGGCAGTCGTGATGTGCAGCTGCTTTCCGACGATTTCGGGCTTTTTCGTGCCTGCTGACGCAGGTATAATGTGAAAATATTAAGGAATGAGACTTTATACCCTTTTTGCGCAAGATCGCTCTGGATCATCTGGATATTTTTTTTTTTTTTTATTTAGAAAATACTGCAGATGGTTTTTCACCATCCAAGCAGGAAAGGGTTACATACGGTTTCAAACAGAGCAGTCAGAACAGTCAACATTTGGGTCATGCACACAATCGGTTACATAAGGTTTCGAACACAACAGTCAAAACAGTCAATATTTGGGACATGCACACAATCGGAGGGCAGTGAATTCCAGTCGTTAATCGTACGTACAAAAAAGGAGCATTTAAACGTGTTACTTTTAGGAGCATATGGTCTCACATTTTTTGCGTGATTCAATCTTGCAGAGCGCTGGGGAGGTGGCAAGAGGTATAAGGTTTTGTCCAGGCCGGACTCATTATTGTAGACTTTATAAAAAAAAACCAGCCTAGCAATCTTCCACCTAGACTCGAGCGATTAGAGTCCGCAATTACGTATCATGTCCGACACTGATGATAGGCGCCTAAAATCGGAAGAAATAAATCGTGCACTGAGGCGCTGGATTCTCTCAACTTTTCCAATATCTTTTATTAAGTACGGGTCCCACACAATGGACGCGTATTCTAGCACTGGCCGAATCAAACTTTTATATGCCGAAAGTTTTACCGACGAGTCACATGGTCCCAGCTTCCGTCTTAAGTAACACAACTTTTTGTAAGCCTTTGCGGTTGTACTATCTATATGGGTTTCCCAATTTAATTTTGAATTAAGATGTAGGCCCAGATACTTTACCTCGTTTACAGTTTTTATGCATTTGTCTTTAACGTGGTATGCAAAGCTAAGAGGGTATTTCTTGTGCGTTACTGTGAGAGCGCACGTTTTAGAGTAATTAATAACCATTCGCCACCTCTCACACCATTCGGCAATTTTGCAAAAGTTTTCGTTAAGCGATACTTGATCGCACGTGTTTCTGACAGTTCTATAAACAACGCAGTCGTCAGCAAACATTTTCACGGTCACACTTGTATCAATGTTGTCGGCTATGTCGTTGACATAAACTAAAAATAAGAGAGGTCCTAAGACCGACCCCTGTGGAACGCCAGATAGCACGTCACGATGTACTGATTGACATCCGTTGATTTCAACAAATTGTACCCTATTTTTTAAGTAAGCAGCGATCCATGTCACAAGGCGAGGAGCAATGCCAACCTGTTGCAATTTTATTAGTAGTAGGTGATGCGGTACCCTGTCAAAGGCCTTGGATAGGTCTAAAAATATTGCATCAATTTGTTCTCTGTTATTAATCGCATGGCCGAAATCGTGTACTACTGAGAGCAGTTGAGTAGTAGTAGACAATCTTTTTCTGAACCCGTGCTGAAAGTTGGCTAATATGTTATGGCTATCTAGAAAAAAACTTATGTGACTGGCGATGACATGTTCTAGCAATTTACAGCAGGTGCTAATTAATGATATCGGTCTGTAATTTTCAGCAAGCAGTTTGCTCCCATCCTTATGTACGGGTACAACTTTTCCACAAAGTCAGTCAGGTGGAAGACATC